GATTCTTTTTTAATTTCCGTTTCTCTGACACCGCTTTAGCAGAAATCTGTCTGTAGTCGTTTTCGTCGACAAAACGAATAGCAATATCGCTCTCCGCGTCTTCCGCCATTTTGTTCTCCGTCAATTCGTGAAGCCGGGACGCGTGGCTCTGAGCGTGGGTCATCCACGCGGAACACATTCGCGCTATGTGATTGGCTGTTGTCTAATCCCCCTTGGGATCTGTGGTCTTGAAAGCAAAACATCATAGCCTGTTCAACAGACGTTATTTTTTCGCGTTTTGCATTCGAGCGAAGGGAAGCGCGAACCAAACGAGGTTCTTAAACAAAATTGGCGCCATGCTATAAGAGGAAACAAAAAAGGGTAGAAAAAATATCGATGTACAACATTCTCGTTCAAAAAGAAGTTTAATGATTTTCTTTCCAAGCAAACTACATGAGCTAAATCGTCTAAATTGTCAAGTGGTGCTTTCTTTGCACAGCTATTAATGAAGGTTGTCTTTTTCGATCACTACTAACGGCTCACGCCACCGTTTTCAGCTGAACCAGAGTCTTGGCGTTCTCACTCACATACGTAGCGAATCTGTTGAATTCAGCGGACATGAGTTTAGTATATATCATCAACAAAACAAATCAAGGCTTGCTGCCATCAAGCTATTAACTGTACCCATTCCAACAGTCCAAAAGGGATCAAAATCGAGTTAAGGATAGCATATTCAATAACCAGTAACATGTACATCTATAGAAATCAGTTGTCTGATGTAGATATTTACCCATCTTATTTCCATTGTTGAATTTTCTTTTCCAGACTGATGTGGGAGAGGACGAGGGGGACGGGGGAGCCCAGGGAGAATACAGGGGAGGGATACGGGTGGCGGAAAAAGGAAGGGTACCGTGGAGGTGGGGATTCTCAAAGGGAGAGAAGGGGAAGAAATTAAATTGGGGGAAATTAGGCAACATCGCTTAATACTTCCCAATAGAAAAAGGGCTGAAGTGGCAGGAAAGTCAAGAAAAAAAAGAGCGGAAACTGGAAATACAACGGTAAAGGGGGCGGGAACATGGACTCCCGCCCCTGTTGTTTTTGTGTCAGTAGTTTCTCTCCCTTCTCCCATTTTTCCCTTTTTGCTCCTCTCTTCCACACAAGCCATTCAGGTTACGACTTTTTCTTCTTTTTCAAGATCCATGAACTTGCCAAAGCTACGAATCCTGGCGACAATGAGAAATTGAAGAAAAGAGATCCCTTTGAAACCAGGCTGAGAAAAGTTTTGGCTAAGAAAAATTGTTACCTCTAGATATTTGTGAGTTCCATAGCAGGGATCACCAAACTCGCTGTTGGTTGCCTGTAATGTGCAATTTGAACGTCCCTGACAATGAGCTTGAACTTTGGCAAGTGCTCCATTAGCTTTGCAGTTAGTGGTCATTATTGGTCCCCAGCCACAGACTTGAGCTCCAGTCAAACGACCGTAGTTTGCAGAAAGGATATTGATGTTCTTGGAAAAATGAGCGCAAGAGAGTGTAAGTGAATCGCCTTCACAGAATTGCAACTGCATCTCTCTCTGACAAGTTGCACCTGAAATATGTATAATAAACAGTTTTTGGACGAGGAAGAGCAAAATATTGCGATTTATCAAATAACCGCTGATATACTAGACAAACGAGGCTTGGTTCACACTATACCGGATCGCTTATGAGCAGAGCATTGCCTGCAGCAAAACAATTAAGAAAAACAACTTTCGTTTTCCCCATTGTATAATATAAGCAAGTCATTGTCTGAATACACACGCCCTTCTGTTGTCTTCCATAAAACGCACCCTTTATGTCTGTGACTTTTCACTGGGGCGAGGTCTATTGACAGATCCCAACTTTTTCAAACTCGTTGAAAATGTCCATCTGGATGTAAATACGTTCGTTCAGCCGGTTATCTCACGTTTATGGCCCCATTTTTCATTTATAGAGAAATTTGACCACCCTTCCCTGGCCCCTCAATATCTTAAATAAAATGTTGGAAAATTATTTACCCGCATCACCAAGTAAGCCTGGAATGAGAAGCAAAACCAATATCTGCAACATGGTTCTGCTTTTCTTATAGTAGAATCACTCTGTGAGGACAAGAAAAACCAGTAGTTCACGAGACTTCATTCATACTTACATGGGCCTCAGCCCTTCCAGGCTGAGTGTTTTATATATTAGTGGATATTTTGCCTTTGCTAGCTGCGCAATTCACCGCTCAAAGAGTTTAAATTTGTCCTTATTTTTTTTTCTTGAAAGAGAACGCGAATTCAAGCCCTCTGTAAGTATCTTACACAAGCCTTGTGTAAGCCTTCTTACGCGTTCTTTAAGTATCTTACGCAAACCTTCTGTAAGTATCTTACACAAGCCTTGTGTAAGGACTCTTTTGTAAGTATCTTACACAAGCCTTCTGTAAGGACTCTTACACAAGCCTTCTGTAAGTATCTTACACAAACCTTGTGTAGGGACTCTTACACAAGCCTTGTGTAAGGACTCTTACACAAGCCTTGTGTAGGGTCTCTTACACAAGGCTTGTGTAAGGACTCTTACACAAGCCTTCTGTAAGTATCTTACACAAGCCTTCCGTAAGCACCCTTACACAAGTCTTCTGTAAGGACTCTTTATACAAGCCTTGTGTTAGATACTTACACAAGCCTTGTACAAAGAGTCTTACACAAGCCTTCTGTAAGCCTTCCTACGCGTTCTGTAAGTATCTTACAAAAGGCTTGTGTAAGCTCTCTTACGCGTTCTGTAAGAACTCTTACACAAGCCTTCTGTAATTGTCTGTAACTCATACACAAAAGACAACAAAAACATTTTACATAACTTTTAAGTGTTAAAGAAGGCGTTCGTAAGAAGGACTTTTAGTAATGAGCTATTTTAATTTAATTGCGTTATTTAGTGACACAGCAACTAAAATAGGGTAATTTTGGTGAAGTGGAATATATAAGGTGTTGTATATTATATCCTGCTACTGTTTTTATATAAGGTTCTGTGCCCAGCTGCTGAGAATGATCCCAACATTCTTTTGTTATGAATGTTTGGTTATGGTTATGATTGTTTTTAATGAGCTGTTTGAAGAAAGAAAGTATCACATTGATATTCAGCTAGGCGGCTGAAAAAGCAGCAAATGCAAAAGCTATGCGCCTGTGCTGAAAATAATATCCCTGAATAAAAATGTACTCATAATTGTCTTTTTCGTATATTGTTCCTTGCAAGAAGAGACAGCAGCTGACGAGATTAAAACCGAGAATTAAAACTGAGTTGAGGATAACAAAGACCAAAGGACATTTGCTGAAGATTAAATATTAACAATTGTATTAGTAGTTTTCTTTTTAGATTACCTGTCGTTATCAGAGCCGGTTGTGGAATAAGAGAAGTACGATTAATCAGCGCAATTAGATTCTCAACCTTTGCTTCTAAGGACTTGACCACATCGCCGATTCGAGAAGTCTTATTGCGCAGTTCACTAAGACTCTCAATCTTTGATTCCAAAGCTTTCACGGTTTTGCTGATGCCAGAAGTCTTCTTGTTCAATCCATTAAGATTTTCCACCTTTACTTCTAAGGACTTTAAGACATCGGCGACGCCATATGTCTTGTTGTTCAGTCCAGTAAAACTCTCCACCGTGGCATTCAAAGACTTGACCGCATCGGCGATTCCAGAGGTCTTGTTGTTCATTCCAAGAAGGCTTTCAACCTTTGCTTCCAAGGTCTTTACAGCTTCACCGACGTAAGAAGTTTTGTTGTTAAGTCCAGTAAGACTCTCCACCTTTGCCTCTAAAGACTTAACCGCATTGCCGATTCCAAAGGATTTGTTGTTCTGTTTAATAAGACTCTCCACCTTTGATTCTAAGGACTTTACGGCATTGCCCAGGTCCCTGTACCGGCAAGTCAAATGAACGTTGCAATAGTGACAGGGGTCCTTATTAAGTGAACTCACAGACGAATTTGAGACGCCATAAACGAAAAACGGAACAACGAACAGGAGAAAAAATGACAAATACATCATAACAGTTGTGGATCATGAATTTGAAGAAGCATCTGAATTGTCGAATGGTTTACTTGTTCCCTTTATATCTTGATATCTTGGGTACAATATCATCAGTATTGAAACTAGCCGTACAATTTTGTCAATTGAAAACTTCGTGACTGCCAGAGCCAGTTGTCAGGGGCACCCAACGAGGATATATTTCAAAACCACTTAACATAGCATTGTTGAACGTATTTTAGTATTCAAACGGTAGATATAGGCATATTTTTATCCCCTAAAAACTTTTCATCTGTTCGGATTTCCTAGCTGAAAGTCTAGTGATCCGAAAATTATAGGGATAAAAACTTACCTTCTCGAAAATTTCAGCCAGGAAAAGGCCCCCGAAAATTCTAGGTGGCCTTTTTTAGGGTCAAAATCCGTTAAAAATGGGTAATTATACCATTTTGTAGATGTTGGAAAATCCTAGGAGAGGCAGGCAAGCAAGAAATTTTGCAACAAATTCTCCGAAAATTCTAGAGCTCAAATCGTCTTCCGAACAGATATTTTCCCGAAAATTGCCGTTGGGTACCCCTGAGTTGTTTACGCAGAAGCCATCTATTAATTCTCCACGAACTATATTGGTGTTGCAACGAATCATTTGCGAAAAAAAAGACACTCGACGCCATGAACGAAAAAAGGAACAAAGAACAGGAGAAAAAATGACAAATACATCATAACATTTGTGGATCAGGGATTTGCAGAAGTATCTGAATTGTCGAATGGTTTACTTGTTCCCTTTATATCTTGATATCTTGGGTACAATATCATCAGTATTGAAACTAGCCGTACAATTTAATTTTGTCAATTGAAAATTTAGTGACTGCCAGAGCCAGTTGTTTACGCAGAAGCCATCTATTAATTCTCCACGAACTGTATTGGTGTTGCAACGAATCATTTGCGAAAAAAAAGACACTCGACGCCATGAACGTAAAACGGAACAAAGAACAGGAGAAAAAATGACAAAAACATCATAACATTTGTGGATCAGGGATTTGCAGAAGCATCTAAATAGCCTAGTAGTTTACTTTACTTGGGTACAATATCATTACCTATTAAATCGTGCAGTACTATTTTGTCAATATTTATCGTGATTGCCAGAGCTGGAACCTCGTTTACGCAGAATCCATCTATTAATTCTCCATGAACAATATTTGTGTTGGCGCGAATCATTTGCAAAAAAATGCACTCTTAACACCGTCCCTGGTGCGATCACCTTGTTATCATGTACAAGGAATTTATCCCGCTTATGGCAGGAAAAAAATCCTTGGTACGTACACCCACTGATAGATAGTTGACTTTTGTTTTCTTTATACAGTGTATCTTAAAATATTTCGTGTATGTAATCAATACCCAGTGAAATTTTAATGGCCAAAGTACCCCTCCTTTTACTCAGACACTTTCTGCTCCAGGAACGATATTGACGTTGGCAGGAATCATATTCAAAAAGATAAAAAGACTTATTATATCTTCGGTAGTAAGAACACCTTAACTTTTGATCATGGACAGTTTATTTCCTTTTAACCGGGGAAAATCCCTTCTATTGATTCATCCCACTTCGAAAACTCATTTAATAATTCATAACGCAAAAACAAAACAAATTAATGTTTAGTGAGTGTCTTAATTTATATCTGATAAAGAGACGTCTAAACCTTACGTCCAATTTTTTAGACCAAAATAAGCCCAAATCTAAATATTAGTGCAAGAAATGAGTTGATCTATAGAAGAGATTTTGAAGCCGTTCAAAAAACTCGCAGTCGGTGTAAAAACTCTGGGCTTCGCCTCGAGATTTTAAACCTCATAATACACTCCTGCTTATTTTTTTAAACAGTACTTAAAACACGATTGTTGTCTGATAATGAGTGCATTACAGATGGCATGCCGTTCTCAATACCAAAACCTCCCTGCTACCAAATTGATGACATGAGGTTTCTATGGCTACGCGCTATGACCTCATAAATGACAAGAGGTCAAGCTATCTAGAGACAAAAAATGGAATTTGTTCAATCATCACTATTTTTTAGCTCGAGCTTGAAAAAATGCTTAATTTCTGGGATACTCACCAAAAGCATGGCCTTACCTAAATTAAACTGGGAAAGCCTCCGTCCGCTGTCATTACAAAAAGACAGTAGCTGTTTAATGTATACAGTATGTTGCCAAGTATCCGGACGGTACCAGTATCCGGACACTTGAAACAAAAACTCAATTTTTGAGGCGCCCTTTTCAGTTCTCGGTAAACGAAGTGTTTCGAATGAAAGCTGAACATTTCAGCTTTAAGGTGAAAGTTTTGGCGGCTTTAAAGCTTACGAAACAGTCGCAGAAGGCGCCGTTCTGTTCAGGTGAGTAAACTTTTCAAGGCTAATATTTACGCTGTTTACTGCGCAGTAAAATTAGTGCTGCTCAGAGAAGGGTAGGTAATATGTGATATTTTCAAAGAAATTGTTTTATATTTAAAGTGAAGATACTTAAAGAAGTTCGCTAAGTATTGATGTCAGCTGCCCAGTATCCGGACAGTTTTTTCTTTGCTGTACACACTGATCGATGAATTAGCTTTGTGCATTGTCCAGATAAGATTTATTTCGTATCTATAACTAAAATTAAAGCTTAGGATATATGATATAGTCGTCATTGTAATTCTACTCAACTCCGTATGGAAATTTTCTTCACTCATTTATGGCGCGAGAATCCTGATTTACAGTGCAATGACAATTATGATTAATCGGCGCCTTGTTACAGCGAGGTGTTTGACTACTACTTGCATTGACTAAAGTTGTGACACCATTAACATAAAACGTACTACCCATCATTAAAAGCAACAAAAATGACATACGTGACAAATTCATAATAAAAAGTGGTATCTTTTGCTGGTTTCAGAATTAAATTGACAACTGAAAGGCCCGATAAATTGCTTGCGTTCCCATTTCTGAAGCATAACATCATATTGGTCAATAAAAAGGAAAAAGAAGACAGACTTGACTTGATGTGTTCCTGTGTGTTTTGGTGTGAATTCGTCGATCTACTCGGGGCGTTTCTCTAGAGCACAGCCATGGTGGAAGCTATACATTCTAAACTGGAGATTTCGTATCCTAAGAAAACTTTCAAGCAATCCTAGGTTTAAAAAAAACTAGGATATGCTTTAATTTTCTTAGATTCAAAAACTCATTGATAATTTACAAAGAATAAAAAGCAATTAATGTTTACTGAGTGTCTCCATATGTGATAAAGACATGGCTAAACTTTACGTCCAATTTTTTTGGATCAAAATAACCCCCAATCTAAATATTAGTGCAAGAATGAGTTGATCTATATCAGAGATTTTGAAGGCGTTGAAAACACGCGCAGTCGTATATATTATCAGGTTTAAAAGTTACTCTCGAGGCGACGCCGACAGTTTTTAAACCTGATAATACACGACTGCGATTTTCTTAAACACCATATAAGAAATTTAATGAAATATTGTTCTAAGAGTGTTTTGAACTTTACCGCTAGTTACACTGTCCACTGAAATAACTTATTTGCAAAGTGATATGGTTAACATGCTTTAAATTTAGTAGAGAAAAAGCGAACCGTGGCTGCTTACCTCATATGTATTCATCTTTCCAGCAAAACTATGAGTATCGAAGCCTTGATTATAATTGTGTAGTTCAGCTTGATTATCCATGGACAATGCAATTATTCTGTGCTGTATTGTGAAACTTTCAGTCGAGTTCTGTGCGACAAGAGATAATTTCACCTACAAAACCGAATGGATCTCCGAAGGCTCATAGTTCATAGAAGTTAGTTTTGGAATTTACTCTTGTGCTTTTTCAGGAGACCTCAAACTCCAAAAGAAGCAGGGATTAGCCAGAATCGTTGATTTTCAAAATGGACGCCAAAATCAGAGAACAAGTCTACGCTTGTAGTAATAGCAGGGGCACCCAACGAGAATATAGTTCAAAACCACTTAAACATAGCATTGTTAAACGTATTTAAGTATTTAAACGGTAGATATAGGCATATTTTTATCCCCTAAAAATTTTTCATCTGTTCGGATTTCCTAACTGAAAGTCTAGTGATCCGAAAATAATAGGGATCAAAACTTACTTTTTCGAAAATTTCAGCCAGAAAAAAAGGCTCCCGAAAATTCTAGGTGACCTTTTTAGGGTAAAAATCCGTTAAAAATAGGCAATTATACCATGTTTTACTTGTTCGAAAATCCTAGGGAGGCAGGCAAGCAAGAAATTTTACAACAAATGTTTCGAAAATTAATTCTAGATCTCAAATTGTCTTCCGAACAGATATTCTTCCGAAAATTGTCGTTGGGTGCCCCTGAATAGCCCACGTTCGATATACTAAAATTCTAACATGACTCTGAGGCTTTCTGGTCATTTTTCTATATTTGGTTTGGCTTTCTTTGTGCTCAATTCTCTTCTGGGAATTGCGAGACGATGGAATCGTGAAAAATTTGCAATTTTGAGCCTAAAGCATCTGAGTCATATTAAAATTTTAATATATCGAACGTGGGTTATTTACTGCAGAAGTTACAGAGATTCTACAATGGAGAGATCTAGACTAAAGATGTTTACCCATTGACTAAGAGACGTCAGCCATGGAATTTTGCCTTGATCGCACCATTTTCGGTTCCCAACCCACTGAACAATGAGTTTTTCTACAATGGATCTTTTCAAGATTAAAACAGTGTTTTTTTTCGATGTGACAAATGTTTTTGTTTTAATTTGTAGTTTTGTTTTGTTTTGTTTTTGTTTCTTTGTTTTTGTTGTTGTTGTTGTTTTGTTTTTTCGCTGTTGTTTGTATTTGATGTAATGATGATATGTGTGATGATTGTTTCGTCAAGGTTATAATAAACAACTATTAGCCTAGTTTCTTGCGGGGGACGGAATACAGCTAAGGAAATAACTAGTTTTCTTCAAAATAATCATTTTTTTGGGCAAGCCTAGAGTAGTACAAGATCTTGAAATAAAAACCTTACTTAAGTTACTGTTATCATAATGATGTGCTTGTGAACTATTACACTAGACTAACGAAGCACTCTGAGTAGAAGTTTATTTCATTAAACGTTACTTAGCAAAAGTATATGGTATACAAGTTCTGTAAAAGCATTTTATTGAATCCTCTCAATCGTAGGTAGAATAAACATCAGCGCAAACTCTTCCCCCGTTGTCTCCCTGCTCTTTGTGATTCGCCAGATCTTCACCGTACCACAGACATAACACTTGATTGAAAGACAAGCTTATAGGATTCAAGAAAACTGACAGAACAAGCTCAGGTGAGAGGGAGTTATACCCAGGAATCGTGTACCACTTCATGGTTACATCGCTGATGAACTGATTTGGTGGCAGTAGAAAGTGATTGCTTGAGTTTGTTATGACAACGTTGACTTGTCGTTGAGTGTTTTTTGCGTTCCTTGGATCGACACCGCAGCCCCAGTAAGACCAATAGGAAGACACAAGGGTGCTGCAGGATACATAACCGTACAGATAAACCAGCTTTATGGCAGCTAACTTTCCAGCTGGAGCGCTGAAGTTTCCAGACTTGTCACCTTTGGCCCCAAAACACACTGGAGAGCGATTGAGCTATCTGCCAGCGATCTGAAACTCAAACAAAGAATACGTTAGGTAACAACGTCATACTATCTTCGCTACAACGGTTATTTGTTTGACCCTTCCACTGCCAAACGTGTCCAAAGTCAAAATTCAAACAAACTGTTCAAACTTTACTTCGAAAAGCTGAAATACATAATGGTACCATGTTAAATTATTGCCAAAGAGGTCTTATTTTAATAGCCACACCATAGATTATTTCCTCCTCAGCGTCAAGGCGGCCATATTGGTGTAATAAACAATAAAACTTTCCTTTGTTTCAACTAAGGCATTTTTTTTTTTAAGTTCGAAAATTTAGAATACCAGTAATGGAAACCATTTTCTGTTTCTACCGTAAAGCAGTGATATTTTAAACAATTCAAAAGTTTAAATAAAAGAAAAAGATTTAACGGCGGTGGGGTTGGTTACGGTCTAGCCTGCAAACACGCTCACTTGTGCGAGTTCATGGAAAATTTTACCGGCGTTAAGAAGAATAGGGCGAGGAAACATTTTTTCCCGGACTTGCAGAAGTGAGCCAGCTCGCAGGCTAGTTAACGCCAGACGGCCATCTCCTGTGTTATTTTATCAATATTATGAGCACCCAGACATGTAGTACTGCCTTATAGTAATAATAATAATAATGATAATAACATTATTGATGATGATGATAGTAATAACAATTATGATAATAATAACAGTCAATGTGTAACTCTTATGAAAGATGAGGGTCGATGGCTACACCCGTCAATAAGCTTTTCACCTACTGATTTCTCTTGCCTTGCGTTGTCAGTGGAAAAGAAGAAGTTTTTTTTCACTATGACTGTTTAGTTTGGATTAACCAATGAGTAGATGCTTCGTCTTTTTGGTTTATCGCAGTTTTTTGGAGTAGGATGTGATGTGACAGGATATGAATTTGTGGTGTTGCAACATAAAAGTCAAATTTCACAACAATTGTGAAAACATAGGTTAAATTCTGAAAAATTAATGTGTAAGGTGTCATTGTGAAATTTGACGTTTATTTTCTCACAATCTCTCATAGGAAATTTTCTTTGGTGTCATTACAGATAACTAATTACATCTGTAGCCCTTGAAAAATGTAAAAAAGAATGCAATATGCTTTAAATTATTCTGGTACAAGGCTTTTGTCTACTGAAAATTAAAATTACTCAATTTCCTGACGGATTCCGTCTTAATGCTTTATGAAGATAGCTTTTATTCATCTCCTTGTTATAACACATTTATTTCAGTACTCTGCATCTCACCTAGAGGGCTTTTACCTGGTTTAATAAAGCCTGATTATTTACCCTAATGTCTAATGAAATATGATGATGTATACAGGAAGCATATCGACCTTGAAATAAAGCAACCAATTAAAACTCAACGATTTCGATCCGTATGTTAATTGATCCCCTAATGGTTTTGATATAAATAGAATCTGGGTCAACTCATTGCATTTACTTCCATTCTGATCGACAGACATGGCACCCTAAGTTGCAGGAAAGAAAGGCGAGAAGAGAGCTGGAAAGGCAAAGGCCCCATCATCTGATGGAAAGAAGAAGAGGAGGGGAAAGAGAAAGGAAAGCTATGCCATCTACATCTACAAGGTGTTGAAGCAAGTTCACCCTGACACTGGCATCTCCAGCAAAGCCATGGGCATCATGAACTCGTTCGTTAACGACATCTTCGAGCGCATCGCCACCGAAGCTTCCCGCCTTGCCCACTACAACAAGAAATCAACCATCAGTTCTCGCGAGATCCAGACCGCCATCAGGCTGCTTTTGCCCGGTGAACTGGCAAAACACGCTGTCAGTGAAGGAACCAAAGCTGTGACCAAGTACACCAGCAGCAAGTAAACTCACTTTGTGAGTTTACCGCCAAAACAAAACGGCTCTTGTAGGAGCCACCAAATGTCACAAAATTCGTGAGCAAATTCAATGATATTATCCTAATTCCCGCCCCTAGTAGCCTATTCACTGACTCTCTATTTTCTCTTAAAAGTCCGTCGAGCGCTCGTGATAAAAATATAACCCCTTGTCCAAAAGTTGGCTCCTCTAAGCGACGAATAACGACGAACTCTACTCAAATCAATCACTTAGTGATTCTAAATCGGTGATAAGCAAATCTTTAAGAATTTCAGTAATTTTAAAATATCACAGCAAAGGATGACACAACTTTTATTCGAAAATGCTATATTTGCAATGGTATGGTAAGCTTATAAAATTTACTCGCCGCGTGACACTATGTATATATATATACACCGAAGTCTTGTATAGCGTTTTCCTAGGGGTGGGGGGAGAGTTTGTTGTGTGTCAGTCAACTTTTCGGCTCTCACGCCTCGCGTTAAACTGCGTCTCAAGTGAATCTGCGTGTCTGACTTAAGGTTTCATTCCCTGACTTTAAGATTTAAATCTTCTCAATCACATCTTATCCTTACCTATGAATTACGCTGCTTCATTCCATGGCTTAGCGTCCTTAGCTTTTGTTCAGGAAACACGGACTGGTTTTGGGGCTGAGGGGGATTTAGTCCCCCCTTTTCTCACACATTTTTTTATATGAGATCGGATGATTAGTTGCTTTTTAAAACATTTAACAAGAAAAATTAAACTAAAGCATGTAATTCAACGTTTCGATGTTTCTAACATCTTTACAGTCAAAACCCCGCGGTATTGACAACCACAGTTATTGCGGACAGTTTGCTTTATCCCTGGGGTAAGAAGGCGCTTAAAGTTTCTCTAAATTCAAGCCGCTTAACACGGATTCCCCTTTAATACGGACACCCTCTAAAGGTTTGAATAAATTAGATAGCATTCGTGCATGCTTAATTATTATCCAAATGTACCAATATAGAGAAGCTTCGCGCGACTGGATCTGATTGCTCTTTCAACGCCCGTGGGGGTACTCGTACTCCCTTATATAAGCTATATAGGTATGTGACGCCCCATCGGTAGGGTTTTTGGCTCGTTTTGGTCTGAAAACGGGTATGGTTTTGGGGGGAACTACGGGACGGTGTATGAACGTATTTATCGTTTCAATTCCCAAGGGAGTAAGAAAGAGAGAGAAATATGCGAGTTCGAAACTGGGGCTTTGAAGAAATTTTTTGTTTGCGCTATAATCTAAGGAATGATAACATAATTTCTGCCTAAAAGTCAGGTTTGAAAACGGGTATGGATTTAAAACTTCTGGTCTGAAAAAGGGTGCGGAAAATTATATTTTTTGGTCTGAAATAAGGTCAGGATTTGTAGAACCGGGCAGCACACCTCCACCAAGAGTTCTCAGGAGTACCCCCTGGGGTTGAGCTCCTGTATAAACAGTATTTCGTAGACAGGGCATTCAAATTTATTTTCGAGGACCGAACAATTGTCCGTGAAGGTTGGTTTCTCGACCCCATGTTGCTTTAAGAGTCTCCAAATCGACAAAATTGAGGGTGATAAAGGGAACAGAGAAGGCATCCCCCATACACGCCCTATTCCATAAGTAATTCGTCTCGAGTTATTTTTAGAATCGGGATAAAGTTACCTGGCGCGCTGCGTGGATGTTTCGTGGAGGTTTTGCTTGACTAAACGCCGTGCAAAACATGTCGGGCGAAAGGCAATGAAAGCGTAAAGAGATCGAGGGCACTCCTGAATATTGACGCGAAATGAGTCGGCGCTCACCTGGGAAAAGGGAATCGCTAGACTCTTTGACAACATGTGAAATCAGTTTAACACGAAGTTTTCGTAACCTCAGTGCTTTAATAAAATGAGAAATTTCGCCGGTCTATTGAACCCGGTCGTTTGTACAATAAAGCAAGTAGGACGCCAAGTGTTATTTTTGTTGCATAATAAAAGACTAATAAAAGAATAAATATCAAACCAGAAATTGCTCTCTTCAAACTGTAAATTATAAATGATCCTGACAGAATATTCAGTGTGTTAAGGATTTCCCTGCTGCACTGTTAGCTCTATACAAGAGAGGACGGGCGATTCTTTTTTAATTTCCGTTTCTCTGACACCGCTTTAGCAGAAATCTGTCTGTAGTCGTTTTCGTCGACAAAACGAATAGCAATATCGCTCTCCGCGTCTTCCGCCATTTTGTTCTCCGTCAATTCACGTTATTTTTTCGCGTTTTGCATTCGAGCGAAGGGAAGCGCGAACCAAACGAGGTTCTTAAACAAAATTGGCGCCATGCTATAAGAGTAAACAAAAAAGGGTAGAAAAAATATCGATGTACAACATTCTCGTTCAAAAAGAAGTTTAATGATTTTCTTTCCAAGCAAACTACATGAGCTAAATCGTCTAAATTGTCAAGTGGTGCTTTCTTTGCACAGCTATTAATGAAGGTTGTCTTTTTCGATCACTACTAACGGCTCACGCCACCGTTTTCAGCTGAACCAGAGTCTTGGCGTTCTCACTCACATACGTAGCGAATCTGTTGAATTCAGCGGACATGAGTTTAGTATATATCATCAACAAAACAAATCAAGGCTTGCTGCCATCAAGCTATTAACTGTACCCATTCCAACAGTCCAAAAGGGATCAAAATCGAGTTGAGGATAGCATATTCAATAACCAGTAACATGTACATCTATAGAAATCAGTTGTCTGATGTAGATATTTACCCATCTTATTTCCATTGTTGAATTTCCTTTTCCAGACTGATGTGGGAGAGGACGAGGGGGACAGGGGGGGGGGGGTTGGAGCCCAGGGAGAATACAGGGGAGGGATACGGGGGGCGGAAAAAGGAAGGGTACCGTGGAGGTGGGGATTCTCAAAGGGAGAGAAGGGGAAGAAATTAAATTGGGGGAAATTAGGCAACATCGCGTAATACTTCCCAATAGAAAAAGGGCTGAAGTGGCAGGAAAGTCAAGAAAAAAAAAGAGCGGAAACTGGAAATACAACGGTAAATGGGGCGGGAAGATGGACCCCCGCCCCTGTTGTTTTTGTGTGAGTAGTTTCTCTCCCTTCTCCCATTTTTCCCTTTTTGCTCCTCTCTTCCACACAAGCCATTCAGGCTACGACTTTTTCTTCTTTTTCAAGATCCATGAACTTGCCAAAGCTACGAATCCTGGCGACAATGAGAAATTGAAGAAAAGAGATCCCTTTGAAACCAGGCTGAGAAAAGTTTTGGCTAAGAAAAATTGTTACCTCTAGATATTTGTGAGTTCCATAGCAGGGATCACCAAACTCGCTGTTGGTTGCCTGTAATGTGCAATTTGAACGTCCCTGACAGTGAGCTTGAACTTTGGCAAGTGCTCCATTAGCTTTGCAGTTAGTGGTCTTTATTGGTCCCCAGCCACAGACTTGAGCTCCAGTCAAACGACCGTAGTTTGCAGAAAGGATATTGATGTTCTTGGAAAGACGAGCACAAGAGAGTGTAAGTGAATCGCCTTCACAGAATTGCAACTGCATCTCTCTCTGACAAGTTGCACCTGAAATATGTATAATAAACAGTTTTTGGACGAGGAAGAGCAAAATATTGCGATTTATCAAATAACCGCTGATATACTAGACAAACGAGGCTTGGTTCACACTATACCGGATCGCGTATGAGCAGAGCATTGTCTGCAGCAAAACAATTAAGAAAAACAACTTTCTCGTTTTCCCCATTGTATAATATAAGCAAGTCATTGTCTGAATACACACGCCCTTCTGTCTGCCTCGTACCCAGACGTCTCTCTCGATATGCGCGCAAAGGAAGGCGGGAAGGAGACAACGGGCGAGACGTCGCTTCGCCTGCCGTCTGTACCCTTCCCATGGTCCCTTGCGGTGTATCACCAGTCACTCGTTTCGCGCTCGCCTCTGCCATGCGAAAAACGAAGCACCTGAGGAGGAGGCTGCCCTTCTTTTGTCTTCCATAAAACGCACCCTTTATGTCTGTGACTTTTCACTGGGGCGAGGTCTACTGACAGATCCCAACTTTTTCAAACTCGTTGAAAATGTCCATCTGGATGTAAATACGTTCGTTCAGCCGGTTATCTCACGTTTATGGTCCCATTTTTCATTTATAGAGAAATTTGACCCTCCTTCCCTGGCCCCTCAATATCTTAGATAAAATGTAGGAAAATTATCTACCCGCATCACCAAATAAGCCTGGAATGAGAAGCAAAACCAATATCTGCAACATGGTTCTGCTTTTCCTATAGTAGAATCACTCTGTGAGGACAAGAAAAACAAGTAGTTCACGAGACTTCATTCATACTTACATGGGCCTCAGCCCTTCCAGGCTGAGTGTTTTATATATTAGTGGATATTTTGCCTTTGCTAGCTGCGCAATTCACCGCTCAAAGAGTTTAAATTTGTCCTTATTTTTTTTTCTTGAAAGAGAACGCGAATTCAAGCCCTCTGTAAGTATCTTACACAAGCCTTGTGTAAGCCTTCTTACGCGTTCTTTAAGTATCTTACACAAGCCTTCTGTAAGTATCTTACACAAGCCTTGTGTAAGGACTCTTCTGTAAGTATCTTACACAAGCCTTGTGTAAGCACCCTTACACAAGCCTTCTGTAAGAACTCGTATCCGAGCCTTCTGTAAGGACTCTCTACAAGCTTTTTGTAAGTATCTTACACAAGCCTTCTGTAAGCACTCTTACACAAGCCTTGTGTAAGGACTCTTACCCAAGCCCTCTGTAAGTATCTTACACAAAGCTTGTGTAAGCACTCTTACGCGTTCTGTAAGTATCCCACACAAGCCTTATGTAAGACTTCTTACGCAAAAGACAACAAAGGTCAACAAAGCTTTTTACACAATTTTTAAGTGTTAAAGAAGGCGTTCGTAAGAAGGACTCTTAGAAATGAGCTATTTTAATTAAATTGCGTTATTTAGTGACACAGCAACTAAAATAGGGTAATTTTGGTGAAGTGGAATATTTAAGGTGTTGTATATTACATCCTGCTACTGTTTTTATATAAGGTTCTGTGCCCAGCTGCTGAGAATGATCCCAACATTCTTTTGTTATGAATGTTTGGTTATGGTTATGATTGTTTTTAATGAGCTGTTTGAAGAAAGAAAGTATCACATTGATATTCAGCTATAGGCGGCTGAACAAGCAGCAAATGCAAAGGTATGCGCCTGTGCTGAAAATAATATCGAATAAAAATGTGCTCATAATTGTCTTTTTCGTATATTGTTCCTTGCAAGAAGAGACAGCAGCTGACGAGATTAAAACCGAGAATTAAAACTGAGTTGAGGATAACAAAGACCAAAGGACATTTGCTGAAGATTAAATATTAACAATTGTATTAGTAGTTTTCTTTTTAGATTACCTGTCGTTATCAGAGCCGGTTGTGGAATAAGAGAAGTACGATTAATCAGCGCAATTAGATTCTCAACCTTTGCTTCTAAGGACTTGACCACATCGCCGATTCGAGAAGTCTTATTGCGCAGTTCACTAAGACTCTCAATCTTTGATTCCAAAGCTTTCACGGTTTTGCTGATGCCAGAAGTCTTCTTGTTCAATCCATTAAGATTTTCCACCTTTACTTCTAAGGACTTTAAGACATCAGCGACGCCATATGTCTTGTTGTTCAGTCCAGTAAAACTCTCCACCGTGGCATTCAAAGACTTGACCGCATCGGTGATTCCAGAAGTCTTGTTGTTCATTCCAAGAAGGCTATCAACCTTTGCTTCCAAGGTCTTTACAGCTTCACCGACGTAAGAAGTTTTGTTGTTAAGTCCAGTAAGACTCTCCACCTTTGCCTCTAAAGACTTGACCGCATTGCCGATTCCAAAGGATTTGTTGTTCTGTTTAATAAGACTCTCCACCTTTGATTCTAAGGACTTTACGGCATTGCCCAGGTCCCTGTACCGGCAAGTCAAACAGGGGTCCTTATTAATTGAACTCACAGACGAATTTGAGACGCCATAAACGAAAAACGGAACAAAGAACAGGAGAAAAAATGACAAATACATCATAACAGTTGTGGATCATGAATTTGAAGAAGCATCTGAATTGTCGAATGGTTTACTTGTTCCCTTTATATCTTGATATCTTGGGTACAATATCATCAGTATTGAAACTAGCCGTACAATTTTGTCAATTGAAAATTTCGTGACTACCAGAGCCAGTTGTCAGGGGCACCCAACGAGGATATAGTTCAAAACCACTTAACATAGCATTGTTGAACGTATTTTAGTATTCAAACGGTAGATATAGGCATATTTTTATCCCCTAAAAACTTTTCATCTGTTCGGATTTCCTAGCTGAAAGTCTAGTGATCCGAATATTATAGGGATAAAAACTTACCTTCTCGAAAATTTCAGCCAGGAAAAGGCCCCCGAAAATTCTAGGTGGCCTTTATTAGGGTCAAAATCCGTTAAAAATGGGTAATTATACCATTTTGTAGATGTTCGAAAATCCTAGGAGAGGCAGGCAAGCAAGAAATTTTACAACAAATGCTCCGAAAATTCTAGAGCTCAAATCGTCTTCCGAACAGATATTTTCCCGAAAATTGCCGTTGGGTGCCCCTGAGTTGTTTACGCAGAAGCCATCTATTAATTCTCCACGAACTATATTGGTGTTGCAACGAATCATTTGCGAAAAAAAAAGACACTCGACGCCATGAACGAAAAACGGAACAAAGAACAGGAGAAAAAATGACAAAAACATCATAACATTTGTGGATCAGGGATTTGCAGAAGCATCTAAATAGCCTAGTAGTTTACTTTACTTGGGTACAATATCATTACCTATTAAATCGTGCAGTACTATTTTGTCAATATTTATCGTGATTGCCAGAGCTCGAACCTCGTTTACGCAGAAGCCATCTATTAATTCTCCATGAACAATATTTGTGTTGGCACGAATCATTTGCAAAAAAATGCACTCTTAACACCGTCCCTGGTGCGATCACCTTGTTATCATGTACAAGGAATTTATCCCGCTTATGGCAGGAAAAAAACCCTTGGTACGTACACCCACTGATAGATAGTTAACTTTTGTTTTCTTTATACAGTGTATCTTAAAATATTTCGTGTATGTAATCAATACCCAGTGAAATTGTAGACACTTTCTATTTACGCTCCAGGAACGATATTGACGTTGGCAGGAATCATATTCAAAAAGATAAAAAGAACTTATTATATCTTCGGTAGTAAGAGCACCTTAACTTTTGATCATGGACAGTTTATTTCCTTTTAACCGGGGAAAATCCCTTCTATTGATGCATCCCACTTCGAAAACTCATTTAATAATTCACAACGCAAAAACAAAACAAATTAATGTTTAGTGAGTGTCTTAATTTATATCTGATATTTTTTAGACCAAAATAAGCCCAAATCTAAATATTAGTGCAAGAAATGAGTAGATCTATATAAGAGATTTTGAAGCCGTTCAAAAAACTCGCAGTCAGTGTAAAAACTCTTGGCTTCGCCTCGAGATTTTAAACCTCATAATACACTCCTGCTTAATTTCTGGGATACTCACCAAAAGCATGGCCTTACCTAAATTAAACTGGGAAAGCCTCCGTCCGCTGTCATTACAAAAAGACAGTAGCTGTTTAATGTATACAGTATGTTGCCAAGTATCCGGACGGTACCAGTATCCGGACAATTTGAAACAAAAACTCAATTTTTGAGGTACCCTTTTCAGTTCTCGGTAAACGAAAGTGTTTCGAATGAAAGCTGAACTTTTCAGCTTTAAGATGAAAGTTTTGGCGGGTTTAAAGCTTACGAAACAGTCGCAGAAGGCGCCGTTCTGTTCAGGTGAGTACACTTTTCAAGGCTAATATTTACGCTGTTTACTGCGCAGTAAAATTAGTGCTGCTCAGAGAAGGGTAGGTAATATGTTATATTTTCAAAGAAATTGTTTTATATTTAACGTGAAGATACTTAAAGAAGTCAGGTTCTCAGAAAGTTTATTAATTCTTCTTGAAATTCGATTTGTTTGGATGAACAGAGGCCAAACACATTCACTAAGTATTGATGTCAGCTGCCCAGTATCCGGACAGTTTTTTCTTTGCTGTACACACTGATCGATGAATTAGCTGTGTGCATTGTCCAGATAAGATTTATTTCGTATCTATAACTAAAATTAAAGCTTAGGATATATGATATAGTCGTCATTGTAATTCTACTCAACTCCGTATGGAAATTTTCTTCACTCATTTATGGCGCGAGAATCCTGATTTACAGTGCAATGACAATTATGATTAATCGGCGCCTTGTTACAGCGAGCTGTTTGACTACTACTTGCATTGACTAAAGTTGTGACACCATTAACATAAAACGTAGTACCCATCATTAAAAGCAACAAAAATGACATACGTGACAAATTCATAATAAAAAGTGGTATCTTTTGCTGGTTTCAGAATTAAATTGACAACTGAAAGGCCCGATAAATTGCTTGCGTTCCCATTTCTGAAGCATAACATCAATACCCAGCTGAACTTGCTGGCGTTTTCTCTTTCACGTCAGCACAAGCGTCCCAAGTTCACGTTACGAGGGTGGAATGTAATTCAATTTCTGTGACGAGTCGATATCGCGTTACAGGCAACCTTCTTGCGATGAGTAGATAATGCGTTACAGGCATTCCAACCTCTGAGATGAAACGTTGTGTGATACTGCAAGGTCTTCGAACGCTCAATATCGTTATATTTTAATTGTTGACCTATTGGTCAATAAAAAGGAAAAAGAAGACAGACTTGACTTGATGTGTTCCTGTGTGTTTTGGTGTGAATTCGTCGATCTACTCGGGGCGTTTCTCTAGAGCACAGCCATGGTGGAAGCTATACATTCTAAACTGGAGATTTCGTATCCTAAGAAAAATTTCACGCAATCCTAGGTTTAAAAAAAACTAGGATATGCTTTAATTTTCTTAGATTCAAAAACTCATTAATAATTTACAAAGAATAAAAAGCAATTAATGTTTACTGAGTGTCTCCATATGTGATAAAGACACGGCTAAACTTTACGTCCAATTTTTTTGGATCAAAATAACCTCCAATCTAAATATTAGTGCAAGAATGAGTTGATCTATATCAGAGATTTTGAAGGCGTTGAAAACACACGCAGTATATTATCAGGTTTAAAAGTTAATCTCGAGGCGACGCCGACAGTTTTTAACCCTGATAATACACGACTGCGATTTTCTTAAACACCACATAAGAAATTTAATGAAATATTGTTCTAAGAGTGTTTACTTTTGAACTTTACCGCTGGTTACACTGTCCACTGAAATAACTTATTTGCAAAGTGATATGGTTAACATGCTTTAAATTTAGTAGAGAAAAAGGGAACCGTGGCTGCTTACCTCATATGTATTCATCTTTCCAGCAAAACTATGAGTATCGAAGCCTTGATTATAATTGTGTAGTTCAGCTTGATTATCCATGGGCAATGCAATTATTCTGTGCTGTACTGTGAAACTTTCAAATTATGCTTTAGCCTGTTCCAGGCGTTCACGCACCGCTCTCCACTATCTGAACGCTTGGAACAGGCTAATTATGCTTTGGGCTCGACGATGCTTGAAAGGCGACTCATTCGAGTTCTGTGCGACAAGAGATAATAGGGAACTTAAGAACCACGACGACGGCTTGGTCGACGACGACCGGAAGTGAGTTACACTGTACTACGCAAGCGCGACCAGTAAATTTCGTCGTCGTGGTGTCGTCGACGACGCCAAACAGAGTAGAATCACGTCGTCCTGTAATCCACAAGCTTCGGCAGGTATAAATCCACTGTTTTAACAGGGGCACCCAACGGCAATTTTCGGGAAAATATCTGTTCGGAAGACGATTTGAGATCTAGAATTTTCGGAGCATTTGTTCTAAAATTTCTTGCTTGCCTGCTTCTCCTAGGATTTTCGAACATCTACAAAATGCTATAATTACCCATTTTTAACGGATTTTGACCCTAAAAAAGGCCACCTAGAATTTTCGGGAGCCTTTTCCTGACTGAAATTTTCGAGAAGGTAAGTTTTTATCCCTACAATTTTCGGATCTCTAGACTTTCAGCTAGGAAATCCGAACAGATGAAAAGTTTTTAGGGGATAAAAATATGCCTATATCTACCGTTTGAATACTAAAATACGTTCAACAATGCTATGTTAAGTGGTTTTGAACTATATCCTCGTTGGGTGCCCCTGTTTTAAGCGATTTTTGAAGGCCTTTGCATTTTCTTGTCCTCCTAAATCCAGGTGTCGTTCCTTTTTTCTCCTAGCAAGCGATGTTGATTGAAAACTCGACTAATGAATTGATTTTACTTTGAAGAATGACAACAGCTGAGGAGGCCGAGCGAGCGAACTCGTAAGTGAATTGTGATAAATTTATTTGTACGTATTTAGGTAAGGCAAATCGTATATCTTTGGTATAGAGGAAATAAACTTTATATGGAAAACAGCTATCACACCAGAATGTCGTTCTCGTTCCATTCTTTTCCCAGTCAACAGACGTCGTTGTCGTGAACTTCATCGTGGTTCTTAAGTTCCCTAATTTCACCTACAAAACCGAATGGATCTCCGAAGGCTCATAGTTCATAGAAGTTAGTTTTGGAATTTACTCTTGTGCTTTTTCAGGGGACCTCAAACTCCAAAAGAAGCAGGCATTAGACAGAATCGTTGATTTTCAAAATGGACGCCAAAATCAGAGAACAAGTCTACGCTTGTCGTAATTGCCCACGTTCGATATATTAAAATTCTAACATGACCATGAGGCTTTCTGGTCATTTTTCTATATTTGGTTTGGTTTTCTTTGTGCTCAATTCTCTTCTGGGAATTGCGAGACGATGGAATCGTGAAAAATTTGCAATTTTGAACCTAAAGCATCTGAGTCATATTAAAATTTTAATATATCGAACGTGGGCTATTTACTGCAGAGGTTACAGAGATTCTACAATGGAGAGATCTAGACTAAAGATGTTTACCCACTGAATAAGAGACGTCAGCCATGGAATTTTGCCTTGATCGCACCAACCCACTG